TGATCTGTTGGGTGAAACACTAATCGAGCTGAAAGGCAAATTGTGTTGATTATCATGAGTTAATTATACTATTTTTGAACTAGATTTCTTTTAGGATTAACATTAAACCCAAAATATTTATTAAATACACATGCAGAGTCACATTTTTTGGACTCCACTAGATGTCAGCATGAATTGTCTTGTGTTGGGTTTCCCCCACTCTCCCATCTGTTCTTAGAAAAGCTCTGCATGTGCCAGGGAGAGGGGTGGGGAAGGCCACTGCAGTGTGTAGAGAGCAGGAGAGGCGTGGTTTGGATGGAGGTGCAGCCCACTGTGACCACGCATGATTTACTGTCAGAGTGGTCGGGTCTCCAGCATACCATGAACAGTCCAGCACTCAGCTGATTAATCAGAGTCATTTCCATGAGTGATGTAGGCTCCGGTGCCTCAGAGGCTACTGAGAGCTAATAAACCTCAGCGGACAAACCGCCACGCCTTGAAGGACGGTTACTGGCCGCCGCTTTTATACAATCTCTGTTTCTACGGCCATCTGCCATTCTTCAGTCCTCAGTGCCCTGTGTCAGTCTCATCAGTATTAATATTGATCAGCTCAATATCTACTGAATGAGATTCATACCCCGGGGACTGGTGGTTCTCCATTAGTTGTTTGAATATGCAGCAGCGCCAAGAGAGGTTGCCGCTCTCACTATAGGCTATGTATAATGATTTTTTTCCAGTGCAGCTAGAGAAATGCACATGCATTTATATTGTCTTTTGTTTTAAATAAAGCACCATAGTTGAATGGGGGAAAGCTATATTTTTACACTATCAAGATGAAACTTTACATAATGAACAAGAAGTCAAACACAAAGATGTTATTAATTAGAATAGTTTGAATTCAACTGATGACATTTGGCCATTTGATGCAGCTAAAACACAAATAACATAATTTATTTGCAGTTGTGTTTCATGCAATGAACATTCACCCGTATTTCAGCTCTGTTTTTGGTCTCCACCAACTCCTGAGGGTAATATAATGCCACTGAGCAGCTGCTAAATGCCCCACTATGCTCACAAGCGAGACGCTAAATTGTCTGCTGTTTAGTGCCGAGCAAATGGTGTAGTTTGTCTTTATAAACTGATGATAGGAGGAAACTAAAATCAAACCAATACGCTGAAAGACAGTTTTATTTGGATTATAATATTTTGAATTGAAAATATAGAGCAATCGTTTGGCATGTTTGTATAAAAAAAGTATAATTTATCTATTCTAAAATACATTTTTGTTGTTTGTAATGAATTGTTCTATCTCATTAAACAAGGCTTATACATTTATCATCCCAAATATTGTTGCGTTAGTAACTTTTATGTGCATGCATTCACCAGATAATATATTGTAGAACACGAACAATTGTGAGCATTGATTTGTACAATCTTTGAAAACACAGTTGTTTTTGAAACATATAATCTAAGAAGTTTCCATTCAGTCCTAAATTGGCATTTTCTCCTGCAGTACCTCTTCAATCTTCAGATGTAATACCACACAGTGTCCCAGCTTCTGGACTGCAGATTATAGAAACATAGCTCCAGCAGAGGGGTTTACCTCTCACTCTGCCAGATCTAAAATTGGCCACCAAAATGAAACACACAGTATAGCATTCTTGCACCTCCTCACATCTGCAGCACATACAGACACATAACTAGCTGCCAGCCCCAACACTGTGCATTCACCACACATACATGAAGGCAGCATTTGCTATAAAGATTTGAAGATCGAGAAAGCGGCTACAATGCTTTACTGCTTCATGTTTAAGGTCACCGCAAACATAAATCATAAGAACACTCGATAAAGGGAAGCACTAGATGTGATTGCTGGTGGATGTGATGCTGTATATGAGGTTTCTCATCTCATCACCTTCATCGAAGCATCACAGATTTCCTGTTGAGATTTTGCTGAATATCTCATCGGAAAAACATTTGAATTTACATCTTCTTAAAACGCAGCCATGTGCCTTTACTCATTGTCCAGAATAAAAATACATGGCTTCACATGTGATTTCGTAGGAAAGCCTAGATGCATTTTAATGGCTTTCCATAGTCATGGACTGAAAGGCTTTAATACACGGCTTCCAGCTCCATGCAGTTAGTCTCCACAACACGCACGCCATATTAAATATGTATTCCAAGTTGCACTGAATCTCTCAGGAGACTTGGCCTGTTTAGTTCAAAGTAAGGTCTGGCGAAGGTTTTTTTTTAGCTCTCTTACTACACACACGTTTATAAGTGTATTTGGTGTCTTCTTTAGCAGCAATAGTCAGCAGTATAAATCTACGATGAGAACCTTTAGATTGTCATCTGTCAAATCACTATGCTGATATGTTTTATATCTCATGGGAGAGGTGCCAGTGTTGCACACCACGGGTTTACCCAGCATGCCATGAATCTGTGTTGGATCAATATCCTGTTCCCACTCAGACACTGAATCAGAGTTGCCTGGGTTTCATGCACTCGCCAGTAAGAGATCCCACACATTGTGGAAAAGAATCCACTGAGGAATTCAGGCTTGACTTGCTGTCATGGATTCAATGGCAAGGCCAAAATGTCATACCGCATTTTTGATGAGGGGGGAAAAGCTGTTGGGCTTTTGTTTAGTCCAAATCATATTGGAAGGCTGCCATTTTACTTTTACCCTTCTCAAAACAATATGGAGGCGTAGAGCAGCAGAAAGTGAAGAAGCATCCACCTCCAGGTTTGGTTGAACCTTTGCGATGTCAAAGGAGTTTTCTCTTATTGTCAAAAAATCCCATAAATATACCAACACCAACATAGAAGTGAACCTGCTAACAATTATTGTCATGTATTTTCCTCGGTGGTCATGATGAACCTGGGAACTGTTATTTTGAGGCAATATTACATACACCACCTTGGTTCAGTTAAACAAAAGCAACAAACCAAATATGTATCTGGATTCTGGAGTTACACCATTTACTCCAGTTTTAGTAACATTTGACAATAACGTCAATGCACAGGAAACTAGCGACCATTTTGTGGTGGGATTACACCAGCTAAAACGACAAATTGCTCGGAAAGAAGAAGAAGAAGACATACCTTATTAATCCCTCAAGGGGAAATTCAATTTTCACTTTGGTGTTATTTAACTCTAAACACATACATAAGCACCAACCACACATACATGCACAGACAGGACTTATACACATGCAATAATGGAGCGATGCTCTGAGCATGGTCAGGTTCCCCGAGCAGTAAGGAATTTGTTGACAAGTGCTCTTCGGCAGGGTGCAGGAGGCGAACTGACACCTCTTCAGATACCAGTCCTTAATCTCTACTTGGTCCGTGGGGGAAATTGATCCTTTAACCCTCTGCTCTCCAAGGCAAATCTCTATGGTCTAAGCAACTTCCTGGACTTAAGTCTATATTGACATTATTTTCTCACATGGGACACAAGCAGCAGTCTCCTGTGTAAAAGGTTTGTGTCTGTTTGACCCTGCCATCAACTCTAAAGTGTAATTGGGGGCCAATGACCCCTAATCGCCCCTTTGCTTGGACCACGCCCATCTTTGTACTCCACCACACATCTGTTCAGTCTTGTGACCACATCTTGCACCGTTGTGACATAAAAACACCGTCCATAGAAATGTAAACACATGACCTCTAGTACTTCCCACTATTGTAGGTAAAACAATACAAGCTTCTCAGTCTCGGCTTTCTAAATATCACTTAAAGTTTGTACACTCAACCTGCACCCAAAGGTGAAGACATCAGGAGATGTGATTGTGTCATCTTTCTTCATGTGGGTTTTATTGGTACAGCATGACCTCCCCTATAATTACCAGATCACTTCTAATTCAAAACCAGCGGCCATATACTGCTGCTGAGAAATTGTGTTTCCACAGACTGTAAAACAAATTACATTCCCCTCTCTCTCTCTCTCTCTCCGGTTGTATGTTTTGAAATTACAAAAAGCCAATCCTCTCTCCTTCTCTCTCTCCCTTCCATTTTCTCTGATTGAGATTGTATTGACTTTTTGTTCGAGTGCTCATTGCTGGCCAGTAAGAAGGGTGATTCACTTAGGGGACAAACATAATTCTCTGTGTCACACAGTAATACCCAAAGGGCCGTAAACTGTCTAGGTCAGCGTTGGTGTAAAGCGAAAAAAGTGCGTCACATCTCGTCACCAGATTTACACCCTGAAATGCGCACTCCAAAGGGGAAAAGCAGTGTGAGGTTAGAGGTCTTGGTGGCATTTCTGACAATTCTGCAGTATTTTTACTATGATTTATTTATTTTTTAAGCCTTTTTGTGATTCTTTATACATGAGCATACTCAAAACCCTTTTTACCCCGCTTCGTGTGCTTATATAAAGCAGTGTGAGGTCAGCAAAAGGTTTTTAGATCATACCAAAGACTACCAAATATTTATACAGCTCTATACGCCATACCCTGCTGGTCTTCCTACCGCTGTCGTAGGATTAAAATCTTCCTTGATGACAGCGGGAGTGGTGCAAGTCCAGAGACATAATTCAGATAAATGAACAGAGATAGCAAGGGAGAAGGAGAGTCAGCAGCACACTATTGCTGCGGTAAGCACACAGCAACTGCCAGGCTTTTTCCTGTCTTTGTCTTATTATCTAGTACAGTATGTAATTTCTTTCCCTCCTTTGCTTATTTACACCTACTCTTTTTTTATGCAGTTGCAGTGTGGAGTCCCCTAGCAGCTGTGCTGTATGTTCAAGGGTGTGGGTGCCGGTCGGACATTGGAGCATATGGATGCTTTTGGATTGCTCTTATGCATTGGACCGGGGGACAGATTGCTGCATACAGCAACTTGTGAACAGCATCACAAATCAGCCGGCCGAGTAGTGAGAGCAGGAGAGTGGAGGGAGAGATGGAAGATGGAGAGAAAGCGGGAGAGGGGGGGAGGGAAAGGGGAGGGGAGGGGGATCCTTTCAGTGACAGAGATAGAAAGAGTGGAGAGAGGGAGAGGAGGAGGGGATTGAGAGAAACCGAGGTGGGGGTAGTCACCAAGAGAATGAGTGAGTGAGCGTGTGTGTGTGTACGTGTGTGTGTGTGTGTGAGAACAAGTAGTGCTGCAGTGCGAGGAGGACTGCAGTTTCTGGTGCTGATGGGAGAGCTGTGGAGGGACGTTATTAAGGCATTGTTACATTAACCCTAAGTGCCTCTTTGGTGAATGGGTTAGCCTTTTGTGGAGAACAGGATTACAGGATTTCAGAAGTGCTGGTAAGGGCGTATTTCAACTCTCTTCACAGCATCGCTTCAACACTTCCTTTGAGGAATCTAGACTTCTAGGCTTTACAGGCTGGATGTGCCGAGTGTAGTTTTAACAGGCTGTATCTAAATAGCTTTATGTCGGTTTTACCATGGTGCTTGTGTGCATGTTACTCTCTGGCGCATGTGGTCCAAAGTTTACTCTAAGCTGATTCATAAGCCTCGTGAAGGGAATACTGTGTCCTGATCTGCACTAGGATCCAGCTGGGGACCTTGTCTTCACCTATTTTCTTTGCAATCCGTTATGATTCCACACCAGGCAGTGGTTTTTAGATTTTGGGGGATGTAGCTCTGGATCAAATGATTCTCATTGATCATGCCTCATTTAGCTCGCCTGGCGGGTGTAGTACCTCTTTCCTGGAGATTGTCCAGGAGGCTGCCCTGCTGACAGATGCTCTGCTTGCCCCTGTAGCTACTCTGGTGTCTTCTGCAAACCTCCCTGAACACGTAAAAAACAAACAACTGGAGCCAGGTAAACGGCACATCGCATTAAAAAAACCTCAGGTGTAATGTATTATAATAATAATGTCACAAAACAGACTCATGCTACGGATGTCTTTATCTTTTCAGAGTGATAAGTCAGACATAAAAAGAGGCTGGCAGTTGTGCTGAGGAGTATGGAGAGTGGAGGGTGGGGATTTTATAAAGTGCTGCAGGATGCTCTTTTTTCTGCTGTCTCTCATGGGACATAGCACAGGCAGCACTGAGGTGACAGTACCAAGGACAAAACCTATCTTGGGCTTCTATACTTCTTACTAATAAACCCATTGCTGACTCTTGTGGGTCTGTATCAGGCTCATCATTAGCACAGCAGAGTGTTCATTATAATAAATTAAATTCATTTTAACAGACTGACTAAAAATAGATATGGTTATTTTGTGACAAGGAGCGCCTGAGGTTTATTGCCAAAACAAGTCCAAATATAACACACTTCTTACATTATGCACAAATATAATTATACCGTCCTGAGGTAACATCTTGAAATACAAACCAGGTTTAGTCCTTCCCCGGGGTCTCTGGTGTTGTAATTATCATCATTACAGTCAATGGCTTGTGTATGGCGCCGTCACATGATCACTCAGGAGTGAAGTAAACAAACACAGTGCAGAAGATGTGAGGACACAAAATATACAGCTGGGTATATATACAATGACTGCATACATGTTTGCTCCTCCAATATCCGGAGTGCAGGAGACTATTTGATACCGAAAAAAGCTTTGAAGGTTCGGTTTTTGTCAGGCTCTAAAACATTCAGGCAGGCTCATTAAGTCCGTACCTCAGGCTGCCGCTCCCATTGGCTCTCACACTGACAAATGCTCTCCGAGTCTCTCATACATAACCAGAAAAACTGAGAGGACGCTTTGAAGTTCACCAATCTTATTTCTTTTTTCTTCTTTTGGCTCCCTGCTGGTGCCCGATTGCTGAGAACTGCTCAAAAGAAGAAACGATTCTGTGCAGCATCCCAGAGTGTCTTACTTTAGTGGGTGTGCCCTTTTGCACCCACATAACCATGTTTTTTTTTACTTCCTAGTGCTTCTTTAGGTTGACATAATCTGCTTTTACTTTAAAGTATTTCACAAAAGCATGTTCAAAATGACAAAGCCACCCATATTGGACTCGTACTATGAGCCAGTGATTTTCTCTCTGACACATTAATACAACTATGATTGGTATTGCTCAGGCGCAGTCAGCGTCTCACTCCAGGTGAGAGGTTTGCCTTCCCAGTCCTGGCCCCAGCCCATCTGATGGTGCGTCGCTGGCAGACGACGGCAGAGAGCCTCGGTGTTAAACGGTCAGACTCTGTCACCAGTCACAGCTTCCTGCTGCGCTGATGGGACATTTTCACCACTCTTTAATCTTCAGAGGGAGAAAAACATGCCAATTTTGTTTGAGACCTCTAGCAGAATTTCTTTTTTGCACCATCTAGCCTCTTGGAGGAGAGGATTTGTGATGGTCACAGAGAGCGTTCTACAGAGCAGGGTAACACTTTGCTGTGGAGAAAAACATTTTCACTGTGTTTCATCATACTGAGGATGTGTTGTGTAAAGCCTACGATGTTGCAGCAAAACATTTGAATTTAATATTCCTTCATGGAAAGTTGAAGATCTGTTCAGTACTTGGTCTAAATTAACAGTTTGACACTTATTCGCTTTATATCGTTGAGACATTAGGTATTATTATTATTTTTGTGCAACTAGCTGCCTGTTAGCTTAGCACACAGCTAAAAGCATGGGGAAAAGGAAAGCATGGCTCCATCCAACAGTAACCTACCAGCACCACCTAGGATCACTAACTAACATATTTTCTCTGGTTTGTGTAATCAGGTTAAATCAAAAGTGTAAAACATCTGTTTTAAAGGGGTAACATGTCATGGCAACTTTCTGGAGTCTCAGCTGGTTGCCTGGCAACTGCTCATGCCCTATAAAAAATAATCCTTTACATACAAATGGTGAACTGTCATTTTTTTTACCCAGGATTAAACAAAATATGTTAGAAGTTTTAATTAGAGAGATTTAAAGGGACTGGAATTCGGATTCTGCTTTTCCTTTGAACAGAGCCAAGCTAGCGGTTTCCCCTTGTTTTCATGGTTTATGTTAAGCTACGCTAACTGGTATCTGGTTGTAGCTTAGTATTTCATTGGCAGACATAAAAGTGATATCTATCTGCTTATCAAAGTCTCAAATAGAATGTGATCAAGCATACTTCCAAAACTATTCATTTGACTTGAAATAAGATATTCTGTTCTTGCAGTCTCTACATATCTTCCCTCTCAAAACTATCAGTAGATGTGGCCTATCTGCAGTGCTGCAGAAGCCCTTTCCTCTTTCACAGTTTCTCCACACAGCCTTACATGCAGATTGGGTCACTATCTCTGTGACAGAATGATTAATCGACCTATGAGGGGACGGGGAAAGGGGTTGTGCTGAGGGGGGATAGGGAGGATGTATGGCAACTGGCTGTAAATGATCCCTGCAGCAGCATTACAACTCTGGCACCTCCCACCTCCTTTTCAAGGATGCCTCTTGATAATAGCTGAGTCACATTCAGCTGCAGGTGAGAATAAGCATTGTTTTATCTACAAAAGCAGGATTGTAAATGAGCCTCTCTGGACCGCTCTTTGGGTCAGCACACAATGAGTTATATGAGGAAGAGGCCTTTCTCTCATTCTCTCCAGTGAGACGATGCACAAGGCACCTTTTTGACATCTTTATCTCGGTTGTTGCCCTCAGATCAGCAGTGGCACCAGCAGGATATCCTGATGCACTTCTACTTTGTTGATAAAGGTGTAATTGACATCTCTGATTGATAGTCGCAGCCTTTTCTTGTGGATGCTTGTATTGTAGTTTGCATTCTGAGTGTTTGTGCAGCCCTGAGGCTAAACACAGGGGTCTGATGCCTCGGTAAATGTCCAGTCCTGCATAAGCAGTTCTGCTGACTGTGTTGCAGATTGCTTGCTGAGTGAATGTGAACATGTCAGTCGGTCTGTCCGTTGGCACAGAGACTACTAAAAAGGAATGGCTACATTTTTGGTTTTGAAAAAATACAAATGTTATCAGTTAATCAATATCATCCCAGGGTGAGATTTAATTAATTGCCTCATTTTAGAATAAAATAAAGTGAAATAAAATATAAATATTCATACAATAAAGACACTTTGTAAATTGTACTGCAACATATCACAACAATGTATATAGAAAGATATGCATTTGACTATATATACAGTATTGTATTAATAGTAATATGGATATTAATGCTAAAAAGCAGATTTTTGCTCAAAATGTAACATGAACTCCAGTTATAATGTATGACTATTTCACTGTTAAGAAGTTCATATAATTAATCTAATAATAAATACATTTCGCAACAGTGAAATAACCCTTTTTAATGTAATGTTATTTTAAAGCTAACTCTAATGCCACAATTATAGGCTGCTTTAAGCTATTTGTCCACCAAATGAGGGGACATTGAAACCTTCAAAAGAGGGATGGGCTGCTGGATTTAGATGATCATTGATGTCAGCGCCTTGTTAGCTGAATGTTGTATTTTAATTACAGATAAGTCACATTACCTCGTCCGGACAGATGCTTGGCACACTCCCATCGATGCATTGTGGCAGGAGACTTGAAGGCTCTTGGTCAAGAGTTTCAGAATCTGGCTCTGGCACATGTTGTGTACCGTGTGCTGTCTTTTTGGATTTGGCAGAGCTTTTGTCAGTCCCTTGGCTCTCCACCATGAAATAACAATGACAAAAGAGGGAGTGTTCTGCAACTACAGTAGGCCACCTTGCAGGAATTTGTGTCTGTTCATTTGACTGTGCATGCCAGCTGAGATCTTTTCAGGAATGCACACTGGCATTATGTGCACAAGTGGTGTAGAAGAGATGTCTTTATGCAGCATAGGATCAAGGTAAAAGCACAGAAAAATGTGTCTAGCAGCAGCTATAAAGACTAAAATGTAAATCAACTGAGGCACCTCAGCTCAATATTTTTAATTACGTTGAGGTAAATGACGCAGAGCATTTTGTAAGAGTTTTATGAGTAATGAGTTGATTTAAATAACTAAATGGCAATCATTATAATGAATTGTTGAATATTCTCCTAAATTCGGCTCAAGCCAAGTTCCATACAGTATCTCATCCTTCCTTGGAAAACAACAAGTAGTGCAGCAATCAGTATCCCCCCTGTAATCCTATTAAAACTCGGCCAAAATGAGACCATTATGACTGTGGGAGCCCCAAGTCCATTTCAGCAGGGGTGAATTACCATAGAGTAGCAAGAGTTCAGGAACAAAGCTGCACATTAGCTCTAATTGAAATAACTCACCATCTCAGCTCAGCTTCCCATCTACAGTAATGCTCTGTCTGATAGATCTAATAAAATAATGTGCCCCCCGTTCTCTAAATGTTCCAAAACACATTTGCAGCTGAAATGGAGACCAGACAGATCAGAGGT